CACACACACACACACACACACACACACACACACACACACCCCCTCACTAACCCTAACCCTAACCCTAATGTTTATTTGTAGATATCTCCTAAAGCCTACAGATAAAGTGTGACATGTAGGCCTGTTACATTTGTTATTGAGCGATATATATTATACACACTGTTCTGCTTTCTGCACTGCCCTCAGCAGCTGTTCTCACTGTAACATCACCTAACATCCAGGGGACATGTGATTAGTGAGTAAACAAACTGTAAAGGGCAGAAAGTCTGATGCACATTTGATCATCTCAAATAACTTATAATCACAACGGGAACAGTTTGCAGAGCTGTGCTTCATTTGACAGAAGTCCAGCCATGCGTCACGTCTCTTTTAAACATCACTGTTGGCTGAAATCGTCTCAGGAGAATACTTCAGTGTACCCTCGGTTATAGCTCCTCCAGAGACACTCCTTTCTCCTCTAAATCAGTGTATCCTCGGTTACGGCTCCTCCAGACAGCCTCCTCGATAATCGATCCTCGACGAGCCTTTAGAGAAATTTGTTTTCCTTCCACATCCGTTTCCGGGTCGCTGCCGGAGCACCTGGGAGTCTGGGACGCGAAAATTAGAGAAATGACAAACGGCTCATTTCCCAGGACTCGCGCACGTCTGCTTGACGCCGGGACGACCTGCCGCCCTCCCCGACAGGCGCACGGACGCGAGGGCCCGCTCATCACTGCGCGCACAAGTGCGACCGCAGTTTTAATTTATTTTGGTCTCTCGGCTCATGTCTCTTGGCTTCTTAAAAACAGCGGGGATCAGCTGCTGAACTGCTACTGTCTTTTGCCGGGCTCCGGTGATTGGCAAATCTGGCTGATGCCTTCTGATATGATGTAGCATGTTTGGCGTGTGTTCCCATTAGCATACCGCACCGCTATCGAACAACGCCGACACACCGTCCTCGTCCGTTCCACCATTCGCACTCCATCGTTATTGTAGTCCACAGGAAACCCGAAATGTTCCCACACAGCTGATTTAAAAGAAGCAGGTGGGTTCTAGCTCCTGTGTGTTATCTGAAATCGCCAGACTAACTTTTCTTCTTCTTGTATTTTGTTCGTTTTGTTGTTGTGTTTCTTCTTGTTCTTCATTTGTTGTTTAAGGGCGGCTGGCAAACAGCTTTTAGGCGCAATACCGCCCCCTGGATTATATATAGTGTAGTGGATACTGCCCTGAATGACAGACTTTTTTCCCACTCGTAAAAAAAAAGGCGCATTCGTCGTGTGACTGCATGTGCCGAATCCTGACATCCGAACCGTGACGGTACGGGACGGATACCGTTACACCCCTAGTCTGAGGGCTTCTTAACATTTAAAAACCTATTAATGTGTCATACTCACTTAACGGGAAGAAACTCAGCTATCAGACAATATTAACCAGTTTTAGCAAAACGAAACTTAAGGGTAATAACAAAGGCTCTGAATTAGCCCTGAGTGAAAAAATGCTAACAACCTTAGCACAGAACTCACGTTAAAATACCCTTATTACTTATGGTATCTGCACAAACAAGATATCGATTGCACAGATTCGACAGGTATTGGTATCATTACTGATTACGATCCGAACTCGCGACATGAGAAGCTAACAAAGACATCACACCACGTAGCATTAGGTAGCCAACACGGGACATTGTCTTACCTTTGTTGTTTTCTGATCTAAAGTGGTCTTCAATGGCATTAAAACGATAAAAACGCTGCTGAAGGTTAATCCATAGGTTAATCCAATGTGTCTGCGTCCCTTTGAATGATTTCTGATCATCCATGAGCAATAAAACTAGTTTTCAGATTTCAGAGCAGAAGATAGGTTTCGCTTTGGGCAAACTGCGTGCGCATAGCTCTCATTTCTCAATGGTAACGTGTGTGTGGAAATTCCCCTTATATTCTATTGGCTCTAACGGTTAAAAAGAGATGTCAATCACCAAAATCGACCAATGGGTTCTAGAGAAACGGCAAATACACCCATTTCCACCCAAATCACCTCAGAGGTGGAGTTTTTTCTTCTAAATCTGTCTAAAAAGGTCAAAGGTCACTTGTTTTGCATCAATCTTGATACAGGGTACTTATTATATGTTTTACTTTGGATTCCTAAAGCTTTTAGTCTACCTTACCATCATCCAAGGTTAGTTTTCACTATAAGTAATGGGTTGTTTTTGGACGGACACTATATTTACATTATTTTACCAAGTTCAATCTGAATTTACTTTAAGATAAAAAAAATCTATATTGATTCTGACTTTTCTACATCCAACTCACAGGTTTATCATTACTTTGAGAAAAAAGATGATAAATGTACCCCTTTTAGAAGGGAAGTTATTTGTCATTTGTTCTGGGAATGTCATTTTCGAACGCGGTGCAGTGTTAAGGGAACGCAGTGTTAATGGAACGCGGTGCAGTGTTAAGGGAACGTGGTGCAGTGTTAAGGGAACGCGGTGCAGTGTTAGGGGAACGCGGTGCAGTGTTAAGGGAACGCGGTGCAGTGTTAAGGGAACGCTGTGCAGTGTTAAGGGAACGCTGTGCAGTGTTAATGGAACTCGGTGCTGTGGGGAACGCGGTGCAGTGTTAATGGAACGCGGTGCAGTGTTAAGGGAACGCGGTGCAGTGTTAAGGGAACGCGGTGCAGTGTTAATGGAACGCGGTGCAGTGTTAATGGAACGCGTTGCAGTGTTAAGGGAACGCGTTGCAGTGTTAAGGGAACGCGTTGCAGTGTTAAGGGAACGCGTTGCAGTGTTAAGGGAACGCGGTGCTGTGTTAAGGGAACGCGGTGCAGTGTTAAGGGAACGCGGTGCAGTGTTAATGGAACGCGGTGCAGTGTTAAGGGAACGCGGTGCAGTGTTAAGGGAACGCGGTGCAGTGCTAATGGAACGCGGTGCAGTGCTAATGGAACGCGTTGCAGTGTTAATGGAACGCGGCGCAGTGTTAATGGAACGCGTTGCAGTGTTAATGGAACGCGGCGCAGTGTTAATGGAACGCGTTGCAGTGTTAAGGGAACGCGTTGCAGTGTTAAGGGAATGCGTTGCAGTGTTAAGGGAACGCGGTGCAGTGCTAATGGAACGCGGTGCAGTGCTAATGGAACGCGTTGCAGTAGGGCTGTGCAATTAATCGTATTTTAATCGTATTTTAATCGCGATTACGATTATGGCTTGCGACGATTATGAAAACAGCATAATTGACAAAATACGATTATTTTGCTGGGTGCGCTTTCGCCCCTCCCTAAAAGCCCACTCGGCCACGTGGGACTGACATGTGTTGTGAGTGTTCAGCGCGAGCGAAGATGTCAGAACAAGAGCAGCAACTCGTTAAAAAGAAGGGTAAAACTATTTCCACTATTTGCAAGTACTTTGCCATTACATTCCACATCGCTAAAGATATGTGCCCAGTTAGCACTGTTAGCAACCAGGGCTTTAAGCAACTTGTCAACACGTTGGACAAGCGTTACGCGATGCCGTCTCGGTATTATTTCAGCAGGTCTGCGCTGCCTGCGCTATGTGACAAATGCCGTGGGGAAGTTGAGAGAGATGTGGCTTCAGCTGACTACTTTGCGACCACAACGGACCTATGGTCTAGCCCAGGGGTGCCCAACCAGTCGATCGCAAGATGTGTCTAAAAATAGAACAACAATATTCTGTTTTATCGTTAATGTCCTGTAACATAATCTTCCTGTGCCAGAATAATGCACATGAACGCATCAAAGCTTTGTGATTGGCCGGCGTCACCCCATGTGTCAGGGCGTGGCTGAGGGTCTTCAGTACAGGTGGCAATATCGTCACCTGCCTGCGCTCATCTCTGAAACCAGACCATGTAAACAGGCTGTTGTTTCTTGCAAAACATCTTTAAGAGATGACACGAGCAGCCCTACCAGCATTTGCCATGGTGGCCTAAACATTTTTATTTGGTCTTAAATTGTAGTTCAACATTTATTTCCTGTTACTTCTGGACCATGACGGTTGGCCAGTCTTCAACGTTTAACTGAGTGGAATAATGAATATGTTTTACCAAAATGTTGGCTATATGTTAAGGAGTTTTCAGTAGGTTGTGACATTGCACTGCAACATGTTTGATTTAATTTATTTTGGTCTAATTTATTTGTATTTATCATATTAATAATATATGTTTAGTATGGTTTTGGAAGTGTGCTCCAACATATTTGTTGATCTTGTTTATTGGTAAAATATTATTTGTTTTAAAGTTCAATAAATGGTCAATGAATAATCGTCAAAATAATCGTGATATCAATTATTGACCCAAATAATCGTGATTATGATTTTTGCCATAATCGCACAGCCCTACGTTGCAGTGTTAATGGAACGCGGTGCAGTGTTAATGGAACGCGTTGCAGTGTTAATGGAACGCGTTGCAGTGTTAAGGGAACGCGTTGCAGTGTTAATGGAACGCGTTGCAGTGTTAAGGGAACGCGTTGCAGTGTTAAGGGAACGCGTTGCAGTGTTAATGGAACGCGTTGCAGTGTTAAGGGAACGCGTTGCAGTGTTAAGGGAACGCGTTGCAGTGTTAATGGAACGCGTTGCAGTGTTAAGGGAACGCGGTGCAGTGTTAATGGAACGCGTTGCAATGTTAAGGGAACGCGGTGCAGTGTTAATGGAACGCCTTGCAGTGTTAATGGAACGCCTTGCAGTGTTAAGGGAACGCGGTGCAGTGTTAATGGAACGCGTTGCAATGTTAAGGGAACGCGGTGCAGTGTTAATGGAACGCCTTGCAGTGTTAAGGGAACGCGGTGCAGTGTTAATGGAACGCGTTGCAGTGTTAAGGGAACGCGTTGCAGTGTTAATGGAACACGGTGCAGTGTTATTGGAACGCGGTGCAGTGTTAAGGGAACGCGGTGCAGTGTTAATGGAACGCAGTACATAAACACAGTGCAGTACAGAATGTTAATGAAACACAATGCACTGCATAAATGTTGTATTTAAATGTTGAAGAGGATTACTAACAGTACTTCCTGTCTCTCTCTCTCAGTGAGTCAGCAGGCGGAGTCCTCGGCCTCCCCTCCCCCCTCATACCCGTCTCCCTCCCCCTCTCTGACACCTGTCATCTCAGCCACGCCCACACCTGTTCAGACCACGCCCCTGTCTCCGCCCCGCAGCTCCCGGCAACCATGATGCCGTCTGCACAGCCGGTCGTCAAGGTAACAGCATCACATGACCCCAGATATACCCGTCTCTCTCTACCTGTCTCTCTATACCTGTATACCTGTCGTCTCTCTCTACCTGTATCTCTCTATACCTGTATACCTGTCGTCTCTCTCTACCTGTATCTCTCTATACCTGTATACCTGTCGTCTCTCTCTACCTGTATCTCTCTATACCTGTATACCTGTCGTCTCTCTCTACCTGTATCTCTCTATACCTGTATACCTGTCGTCTCTCTCTACCTGTATCTCTCTCTACCTGTCTCTCTACCTGTATACCTGTCGTCTCTCTCTCCCTGTCTCTCTACCTGCATACCTGTCGTCTATCTCTACCTGTTTCTTTCTACCTGTATACCTGTCGTCTCTCTCGACCTGTATACCTGTCGTCTCTCTCTACCTGTCTCTCTCTACCTGTATACCTGTCGTCTCTCTCTACCTGTATACCTGTCGTCTCTCTCTACCTGTCTCTCTCTACCTGTATACCTGTCGTCTCTCTCTACCTGCATACCTGTCGTCTATCTCTACCTGTTTCTTTCTACCTGTATACCTGTCGTCTCTCTCTACCTGTATACCTGTCGTCTCTCTCTACCTGTCTCTCTCTACCCGTCTCTCTCTAGCTGTCTCTCTATACCTGTCGTCTCTCTCTACCTGTCTCTCTATACCTGTATACCTGTCGTCTCTCTCTACCTGTCTCTTTCTACCTGTATACCTGTCGTCTCTCTCTACATGTCTCTCTCTACCTGTATACCTGTCGTCTCTCTACCTGTCTCTCTCTACCTGTATACCTGTCGTCTCTCTCTACCTGTATACCTGTCGTCTCTCTACCTGTCTCTCTCTACCTGTATACCTGTCGTCTCTCTCTACCTGTATACCTGTCGTCTCGCTCTACCTGTCTCTTTCTACCTGTATACCTGTCGTCTCTCTCTACCTGTCTCTATATACCTGTATACCTGTCCGTCTCTCTCTACCTGTATCTCTCTATACCTGTATACCTGTCGTGTCTCTCTACCTGTCTCTCTATACCTGTATACCTGTCGTCTCTCTCTACCTGTCTCTCTCTACCTGTATACCTGTCGTCTCTCTCTACCTCTATCTCTCTATACCTGTATACCTGTCGTCTCTCTCTACCTGTATCTCTCTATACCTGTATACCTGTCGTCTCTCTCTACCTGTATCTCTCTATACCTGTATACCTGTCGTCTCTCTCTACCTGTCTCTCTCTACCTGTATACCTGTCGTCTCTCTCTACCTCTATCTCTCTATACCTGTATACCTGTCGTCTCTCTCTACCTGTATCTCTCTATACCTGTATACCTGTCGTCTCTCTCTACCTCTATCTCTCTATACCTGTATACCTGTCGTCTCTCTCTACCTGTATCTCTCTATACCTGTATACCTGTCGTCTCTCTCTACCTGTATCTCTCTATACCTGTATACCTGTCGTCTCTCTCTACCTGTATCTCTCTATACCTGTATACCTGTCGTCTCTCTCTACCTGTATCTCTCTCTACCTGTATACCTGTCGTCTCTCTCTCCCTGTCTCTCTACCTGCATACCTGTCGTCTCTCTCTACCTGTATCTCTCTCTACCTGTCTCTCTACCTGTATACCTGTCGTCTCTCTCTCCCTGTCTCTCTACCTGCATACCTGTCGTCTATCTCTACCTGTTTCTTTCTACCTGTATACCTGTCGTCTCTCTCGACCTGTATACCTGTCGTCTCTCTCTACCTGTCTCTCTCTACCTGTATACCTGTCGTCTCTCTCTACCTGCATACCTGTCGTCTATCTCTACCTGTTTCTTTCTACCTGTATACCTGTCGTCTCTCTCTACCTGCATACCTGTCGTCTCTCTCTCCCTGTCTCTCTACCTGCATACCTGTCGTCTCTCTCTACCTGTATACCTGTCGTCTCTCTCTACCTGTCTCTCTCTACCCGTCTCTCTCTAGCTGTCTCTCTATACCTGTCGTCTCTCTCTACCTGTCTCTCTATACCTGTATACCTGTCGTCTCTCTCTACCTGTCTCTTTCTACCTGTATACCTGTCGTCTCTCTCTACATGTCTCTCTCTACCTGTATACCTGTCGTCTCTCTACCTGTCTCTTTCTACCTGTATACCTGTCGTCTCTCTCTACCTGTATACCTGTCGTCTCTCTACCTGTCTCTCTCTACCTGTATACCTGTCGTCTCTCTCTACCTGTATACCTGTCGTCTCGCTCTACCTGTATACCTGTCGTCTCTCTACCTGTCTCTCTCTACCTGTATACCTGTCGTCTCTCTCTACCTGTATACCTGTCGTCTCTCTCTACCTGTCTCTCTATACCTGTATACCTGTCGTCTCTCTCTACCTGTATACCTGTCGTCTCTCTCTACCTGTATACCTGTCGTCTCGCTCTACCTGTCTCTCTATACCTGTATACCTGTCGTCTCTCTCTACCTGTCTCTCTATACCTGTATACCTGTCGTCTCTCTCTACCTGTCTCTCTATACCTGTATACCTGTCGTCTCTCTCTACCTGTCTCTCTACCTGTATACCTGTCGTCTCTCTACCTGTCTCTCTCTACCTGTATACCTGTCGTCTCTCTCTACCTGTATACCTGTCGTCTCGCTCTACCTGTCTCTCTATACCTGTATACCTGTCGTCTCTCTCTACCTGTCTCTCTATACCTGTATACCTGTCGTCTCTCTCTACCTGTCTCTCTATACCTGTATACCTGTCGTCTCTCTCTACCTGTCTCTCTACCTGTATACCTGTCGTCTCTCTACCTGTCTCTCTCTACCTGTATACCTGTCGTCTCTCTCTACCTGTATACCTGTCGTCTCGCTCTACCTGTCTCTCTATACCTGTATACCTGTCGTCTCTCTCTACCTGTCTCTCTATACCTGTATACCTGTCGTCTCTCTCTACCTGTCTCTCTATACCTGTATACCTGTCGTCTCTCTCTACCTGTATACCCGTCTCTCTCTACCTGTATCTCTCTACCTGTATACCTGTGTCTCTCTACCTGTATACCCGTCTCTCTCTACCTGTATACCCGTCTCTCTCTACCTGTATACCCGTCACCTGTATACCCGTCTCTCTCTACCTGTATACCCGTCTCTCTCTACCTGTATACCCGTCTCTCTCTACCTGTATACCCGTCTCTCTCTACCTGTATACCCGTCTCTCTCTACCTGTATACCCGTCACCTGTATACCCGTCTCTCTCTACCTGTATACCCGTCTCTCTCTACCTGTATACCCGTCTCTCTCTACCTGTATACCCGTCTCTCTCTACCTGTATACCCGTCTCTCTCTACCTGTATACCCGTCTCTCTCTAACTGTATACCCGTCTCTCTCTACCTGTATACCCGTCTCTCTCTACCTGTATACCCGTCTCTCTCTACCTGTTTCGATGGCAGTCTTGCTACCTGTCCGTCTCAATCTTTATATATTGAAATGGTTCTACACCTGTCTATCTCTCTCACACCTGTCTGTCTCTCACATCTGTCTCTCACACCTGTCCGTCTCTCACATCTGTCTCTCCCTCCCCGTCTGTCTCTCACACCTGTCTGTCTCTCCTTCCCCGTCTGTCTCTCATATCTGTCTGTCTCTCCCTCCCTCATATCTGTCTGTCTCTCCCTCTCCGTCTGTCTCTCACACCTTCCCCGTCTGTCTCTCACACCTGTCTCACACCTGTCTGTCTCTCACATCTGTCTGTCTGTCCCTCCCCGTCCGTCTCTCACACCTGTCTCTCCCTCCCCGTCTCTCTCTCACACCTGTCAGTCTCTCACATCTGTCTGTCTCTCACATCTGTCTGTCTCTCCCTCCCCGTCCGTCTCTCACACCTGTCTGTCTCTCACACCTGTCTGTCTCTCACATCTGTCTCTCACACCTGTCCGTCTCTCACATCTGTCTCTCCCTCCCCGTCTGTCTCTCACACCTGTCTGTCTCTCCTTCCCCGTCTGTCTCTCATATCTGTCTGTCTCTCCCTCCCTCATATCTGTCTGTCTCTCCCTCTCCGTCTGTCTCTCACACATGTGTCTCCCCGTCTGTCTCTCACACCTGTCTGTCTCTCACATCTGGCTGTCTCTCCTTCCCCGTCTGTCTCTCACACCTGTCTCTCCCCGTCTGTCTCTCACACCTGTGTCTCCCCGTCTGTCTCTCACACCTGTCTGTCTCTCACATCTGGCTGTCTCTCCTTCCCCGTCTGTCTCTCACACCTGTCTCTCCCCGTCTGTCTCTCACACCTGTGTCTCCCCGTCTGTCTCTCACACCTGTCTGTCTCTCACATCTGGCTGTCTCTCCTTCCCCGTCTGTCTCTCACACCTGTCTCTCCCCGTCTGTCTCTCACACCTGTGTCTCCCCGTCTGTCTCTCACACCTGTCTGTCTCTCATATCTGTCTGTCTCTCCCTCCCTCATATCTGTCTGTCTCTCCCTCTCCGTCTGTCTCTCACACCTGTCTCTCCCCGTCTGTCTCTCACACCTGTGTCTCCCCGTCTGTCTCTCACACCTGTCTGTCTCTCATATCTGTCTGTCTCTCCCTCCCTCATATCTGTCTGTCTCTCCCTCTCCGTCTGTCTCTCACACCTGTCTCTCCCCGTCTGTCTCTCACACCTGTGTCTCCCCGTCTGTCTCTCACACCTGTCTGTCTCTCATATCTGTCTGTCTCTCCCTCCCTCATATCTGTCTGTCTCTCCTTCCCCGTCTGTCTCTCACACCTGTCTCTCCCCGTCTGTCTCTCACACCTGTGTCTCCCCGTCTGTCTCTCACACCTGTCTGTCTCTCCCTCCCTCATATCTGTCTGTCTCTCCCTCTCCGTCTGTCTCTCACACCTGTGTCTCCCCGTCTGTCTCTCACACCTGTCTGTCTCTCACATCTGGCTGTCTCTCCTTCCCCGTCTGTCTCTCACACCTGTCTGTCTCTCACATCTGTCTGTCTGTCCCTCCCCGTCCGTCTCTCACACCTGTCTCTCCCTCCCCGTCTCTCTCTCACACCTGTCAGTCTCTCACATCTGTCTGTCTCTCCCTCCCCGTCCGTCTCTCACACCTGTCTGTCTCTCACACCTGTCTCTCCCTCCCCGTCTCTCTCTCACACCTGTCTGTCTCTCCCTCCCCGTCTCTCTCTCACACCTGTCAGTCTCTCACACCTGTCTGTCTCTCACACCTGTCTCTCCCTCCCCGTCTCTCTCTCACACCTGTCTGTCTCTCCCTCCCCGTCTCTCTCTCACACCTGTCAGTCTCTCACATCTGTCTGTCTCTCACATCTGTCTGTCTCTCCCTCCCCGTCCGTCTCTCACACCTGTCTGTCTCTCACACCTGTCTCTCCCTCCCCGTCTGTCTCTCACACCTGTCTGTCTCTCTCTCCCCATCTGTCTCTCACATCTGTCTGTGTCTTCAACAGAAGAAAGGTGTGAAGAGGAAAGCCGACACCACCACCCCGACCACGTCAGCCATCTCTGCAGGACGAGCCGACTCTCCGTCCGCTCAGGACACTAAGCCTCCCAAACTGGCCCTGTCGAGGCGTGAAGCGGCCGCCCGGCCCGCTAAGACCCGGCGTGAGACGGTGGAGGAGGTGGCGGTGGGCGAGGTGGGGGCCGCCGGAGGGGGGGTGGCCGCCAGGAGTAAGGGCGGGAAGCTGGGCGAGCAAATGAAACACTGCGACGCCATCCTGAAGGAAATGCTCTCCAAGAAACACGCCGCCTACGCCTGGCCCTTCTACAAGCCGGTGGACGCAGAGGCGCTGGAGCTGCACGACTACCACGACATCATCAAACACCCCATGGACCTCAGCAGCGCGCGGGTAAACACACACTTTTTTTCAAGGATTCAAGGCTTTTATTGTCACGTGTACATAGCTACAGTGTAGTTATGACAAGGACATTCTGAGGTCACAGGCTCCTCCAACAGTGCAACACAATAAAACAGATAATAGTGCAATTAATAAAATGAAATATAATATTACTTTTAAGTATATAATAATAATGTCAGGGTTTAGGACTAATTCCTGCACCACTCTATTGTAGCTCTCATTCAATACCACACCAAGCACACTTTTTGATTATTGCAGAAACATGCCAGGGTTTAGGACTAATTCCTCTCATTCAATACCACACCTACATTCCCATTAGTCACTGCGACACACAGCCATGGGTTATGAGTGTCCAGGTTAAAGATGGTGGTGAACTCCATGTTTAAGGATCAGCCGTATGACCAATAAAAGCCTTGAACCTTGAGCAGTCCACAGTTGCACCATCTTTGTGTTTTGTGTCTGCATATTGTTCTAGCATGGGGAACTCAGAGTTCATACAGCTTCTTCATCTCTGCATTTTGTCTCCCCAACAGAAAAAGATGGATAAAGGAGAGTACAGTGATCCTCAAAGTTTTGCAACGGACGTCAGGTTAATGTTCTCCAACTGTTACAAGTACAACCCTCCGGACCACGAGGTGGTGGCCATGGCCCGTAAGCTACAGGTGTGTAAACCCTCCAGAACTCTCAACACCCCATTCAGGGGTCTCTGTAGTCACCATTATCTCTTCAGGGGTCTCTGTAATCACCATTATCTCTTCAGGGGTCTCTGTAGTCACCATTATCTCTTCAGGGGTCTCTGTAATCACCATTATCTCTTCAGGGGTCTCTGTAATCACCATTATCTCTTCAGGGGTCTCTGTAATCACCATTATCTCTTCAGGGGTCTCTGTAGTCACCATTATCTCTTCAGGGGTCTCTGTAATCACCATTATCTCTTCAGGGGTCTCTGTAGTCACCACCATTATCTCTCTGAAGTCACCACCATTATCTCTCTGTAGTCACCATTATCTCTATGTAGTCACCATTATCTCTGTAGTCACCATTATCTCTCAGTAGTCACCATTATCTCTCTGTAGTCACCATTATCTCTCTGTAGTCACCATTATCTCTCTGTAGTCACCATTATCTCTCTGTAGTCACCATTATCTCTCTGTAGTCACCATTATCTCTCTATAGTCACCATTATCTCTCAGTAGTCACCATTATCTCTCTGTAGTCACCATTATCTCTCTATAGTCACCATTATCTCTATGTAGTCACCATTATCTCTCTGTAGTCACCATTATCTCTCTGTAGTCACCATTATCTCTCTGTAGTCACCATTATCTCTCTGTAGTCACCATTATCTCTCTGTAGTCACCATTATCTCTCTGTAGTCACCATTCTCTCTATAGTCACCATTATCTCTCTGTAGTCACCATTATCTCTCTGTAGTCACCATTATCTCTCTGTAGTCACCATTATCTCTCTGTAGTCACCATTATCTCTCTGTAGTCACCATTATCTCTCTGTAGTCACCATTATCTCTATGTAGTCACCATTATCTCTATGTAGTCACCATTATCTCTCTGTAGTCACCATTATCTATGTAGTCACCATTATCTCTCTGTAGTCACCATTATCTCTATGTAGTCACCATTATCTCTCTGTAGTCACCATTATCTCTCTGTAGTCACCATTATCTCTCTGTAGTCACCATTATCTCTCTTAGTCACCATTATCTCTCTGTAGTCACCATTATCTCTCTGTAGTCACCATTATCTCTCTGTAGTCACCATTATCTCTCTGTAGTCACCATTATCTCTCTGTAGTCACCATTATCTCTATGTAGTCACCATTATCTCTCTGTAGTCACCATTATCTCTCTGTAGTCACCATTATCTCTCTGTAGTCACCATTATCTCTCTGTAGTCACCATTATCTCTCTGTAGTCACCATTATCTCTATGTAGTCACCATTATCTCTCTGTAGTCACCATTATCTCTCTGTAGTCACCATTATCTCTCTGTAGTCACCATTATCTCTCTGTAGTCACCATTATCTCTCTGTAGTCACCATTATCTCTCTGTAGTCACCATTATCTCTCTGTAGTCACCATTATCTCTCTGTAGTCACCATTATCTCTCTGTAGTCACCATTATCTCTCTGTAGTCACCATTATCTCTCTTAGTCACCATTATCTCTCTGTAGTCACCATTATCTCTCTGTAGTCACCATTATCTCTCTGTAGTCACCATTATCTCTCTGTAGTCACCATTATCTCTATGTAGTCACCACCATTATCTCTCTGTAGTCACCATTATCTCTCTGTAGTCACCATTATCTCTCTGTAGTCACCATTATCTCTCTGAAGTCACCATTATCTCTCTGAAGTCACCATTATCTCTCTGTAGTCACCATTATCTCTCTGTAGTCACCATTATCTCTCTGTAGTCACCATTATCTCTCAGTAGTCACCATTATCTCTCTGTAGTCACCCATTATCTCTCTGTAGTCACCATTATCTCTCTGTAGTCACCATTATCTCTCTATAGTCACCATTATCTCTCTGTAGTCACCATTATCTCTCTGTAGTCACCATTATCTCTCTGTAGTCACCATTATCTCTCTAGTAGTCCACCATATCTCTCTGTAGTCACCATTATCTCTCTGTAGTCACCATTATCTCTCTGTAGTCACCATTATCTCTCTGTAGTCACCCATTATCTCTCTGTAGTCACCATTATCTCTCCTAGTCACCATTATCTCTATGTAGTCACCATTATCTCTCTGAAGTCACCATTATCTCTATGTAGTCACCATTATCTCTCTGTAGTCACCATTCTCTCTCTGTAGTCACCATTATCTCTCTGTAGTCACCATTATCTCTCTGTAGTCACCATTATCTCTCTGTAGTCACCATTATCTCTCTGTAGTCACCATTATCTCTCTGTAGTCACCATTATCTCTATGTAGTCACCATTATCTCTCTGTAGTCACCATTATCTCTCTGTAGTCACCATTATCTCTCTATAGTCACCATTATCTTCTTGTAGTCACCATTATCTCTCTGTAGTCACCATTATCTCTCTGTAGTCACCATTATCTCTCTGTAGTCACCATTATCTCTCTGTAGTCACCATTATCTCTCTGATAGTCACCATTATCTCTCTGTAGTCACCATTATCTCCTATGTAAGTCACCATTATCTCTCTATGTAGTCACCATTATCTCTCAGTAGTCACAATTATCTCTCTGTAGTCACCATTATCTCTGTAGTCACCATTATCTCTCTGTAGTCACCATTATCTCTCTGTAGTCACCATTATCTCTCTGTAGTCACCATTATCTCTCTATAGTCACCATTATCTCTCTGTAGTCACCATTATCTCTCTATAGTCACCATTATCTCTGTAGTCACCATTATCTCTATGTAGTCACCATTATCTCTCTGTAGTCACCATTATCTCTCTGTAGTCACCATTATCTCTCTGTAGTCACCATTATCTCTATGTAGTCACCATTATCTCTCTGTAGTCACCATTATCTCTCTGTAGTCACCATTATCTCTCTGTAGTCACCATTATCTCTCTATAGTCACCATTATCTCTCTGTAGTCACCATTATCTCTCTGTAGTCACCATTATCTCT